GTCTTTACCTTAACCCACAAGTTACCCTGCATCATCTCTTTTGATGCTCCCGTTTTGGTGAGCGACCGAGCAGCCATGTGGGCACTTCAACTGCTGGCCTGGCTCAACCCCACAGCAAGTACAAAGGCCAGTGCTAGTCCTGCCAGCTACAGCTCTGAAGATTGGCTGTGTTACGCTTATTCATTATCCATTCATCGCTGAAGTTCATTGACTCTTCACACACAGCTGAAATAAAGCCAAGCTGGCTCTTGTTTTCAAACTTTTCCTGTCCACCATTGATGCGTGAGATTTAAGACCAGTGATCAAAAAGTCTAGCAAAAAGAAAAAAGTGATTTTTGAGTATGAAACAAATGGAATATCAAAAATTGTTGACAGCCCATAATTAGCTTTTGTGAAAACATGTTAGCCCCAAACATGATAAAATTAGAGGAAAATCAGAATGAGAACCAATACTAATGATGAAAACTGGATTATGAGAAATCATACCTTTCTTCCCAGTGACTGCTTTAACAAAATTTAGAGAAGCAGAGTTTGATAAGCATACTTACAAAACAAGACCAAGTTGAGAAGCCTTTGATGTATTCAGTCTTTCTTTGTTTTGCAATCAATTTCATAGCTTTAAAGTAGAAAACACCCTGTACAATAAAGGACTTCTAATTTATTTTTTTTAAAAAGTAAAATGTAAGTATGCCTGCTTGCAATACAAAAACTGGAACATTAACTATTCCCAAAAATGTATACCTCTGTGGAAATGCAGTCATCATTTTCTTCACCAAAAAGTAACATATACCCATGACTCCATAAAAGGAGGGAATCCCAAATTAAGTCTGGGAATTTGGAGTCAGGACTACAGTAGGCACCAGCAGGTGTGAAAAAAAACCCCAACATTACACAACAGCCTTGCTTTTTCATGTTCTTACAAGTCACTTCCTTCCAGCTATTTGTGTTTTCCTTTAAATCTTTAAAAATAACAAAAAGCCCACAATCCAGTGCCTGTCAAAGTAGCAGAACTGGTTCACCTTAGAAGCACTAGACCCTGGAAAATTGCTCCATCAGAAATTTCCCTTGGTGTTTCTGATGCCCATGTCAGAAGATGCAGAGTGGCTGAACTTGCTCCTTTGCTACCTGTGCAGGTTATATTCCTTCCATTCAGTTCATTTGGAAAAAAAAAAGGTCCAGGGATCATCAGTTGTTAAGCAGTGCTTTGAGTTGCACACACTTTGGTCTTTACTCTGTTGAGTCAGTAGCCAATGTAAATCACAAAAAAACTGTTCTTTTCCCTTCTGTGCTCTACCCAAGCGCTAAAAGAAATTGAGACAATGGGGGGGGGAAGGGCGGGGGGAGCAGAGAACTGGGCAGTGGTGGTAGAGGGAACAAAAATTAAATGGAAGGTCTGCACAGCAATGGGTTCATGTACATACTGAAAATATTAAAATGTGTTGGATCCAGCCAAGAATGCTAGCTTCTATTCATTTGTTCCTCTTCTGAAGTGTGTAAAAGTAGTAGTTTCTTTTTCCGATATTCTTCATTCTCCTGCTCTGCTTCTTCATCTATGGATTTTCTTATACATGCTTTTAGTTCCTCAATTCCTTCTCCAGTACATGTAGATATAGGAATTATATCTTTGAATTCAAGTGTGTTTGCAGGAATCATTTCTTCCTGTAGTAAGTGTAAGAAGTCTGAAAAATCATATTGAAAGAGTTAGTACAATCCCCAAATACTGTATCACTACAAAGCCCATAAAATTCCATTAAATTTAGAAAATAAACTTTAATAAACTACAGTAATAAATGTAACTGTAATTAATATAAAGTATTATTTGCTTAATGAATCATTAAAAAAATAGCTAAAGTCTCAGAAGACAAGCACTAACATAGCAGTTATAGCATACTTACGCTCTCATGAGAAGATTCTATACCCTTCCTTTAAGATGAGTACAAAGAAATGCCAAGTTGCAGAACACGGGACAGAGACTGTTTTAAGCCTTCTTGATTCTTATACACAAATCACCATCCCTGGAGGTGTTTAAAAAAAGACTGCACATGGCACTTAGTGCCATGGTCTAGTTGACATGGTGGTGTTAGGGCAAAGGCTGGACTCGATGATCCCAGAGGTCTCTTCCAACCAAATAGATTCTGTGAAATTGAAGTAAACCTACATAGGCCTGTCCAGAATTTTCATGTGTTTTGGCCAAAGTCCCATGATAAATTGTATATACATCAGTGTCTGTCAAGGGACCTTCAACGCACATTACTGCAAATTTACTCTCCCATATTATAGCTGGGAAAGGTCTTCTGGATATCTCCATTTTAATAAAATACTTCCCCAACAGTGAAGCCAGCACTACAAATGCATATAAACAGAGGAATGCAGGAAGTAGTTTTAAAACCTATGTTCAAAGAATAAACTTAATAGCTGCCTTCACTTCAGTTTCAAACACCTCCTTGCCAATGCAGAGTTACCCTGATGAAATCTTATTACTACTTTTGTCAAAGGTAATTGTTGAAAGTTAATTTACCTTGAGGATTCTGTAGTTGTTTTGTAAGTTCATTCAAGTTATCCTTTGCACAAAGCAAATCCATTTTATTAATGGCAAGAAGCGCAGGCTTTGTTAGAAGTTCCTCTTTGTACAGCTCCAGTTCCTTAAAAAACAAGTAAATTTGCCTTAAAAAGTATTTGTAGTTTAACAAGCACTACTTCAATTTTACATCTCTCTGATTTGTTTAACTGGCTAAATAGTCTTTGATGCCTAGGCAGCTGTGAGATTGACTTAGGTGCTCAAGGATGATGTACTAAAGCAGTCTGACATAAGAAAATAATATTTAATGATTCAGTGATATTTTGCTCAAACACAGACACTTCAGGTAAAGAGGCTGGCTGATTCTGAAACAGCCTCCTATAAAAGGAATGACAGTTTTATTTTTGTTTTTCTGATATCCACAAACAAAAAAAAAATCAACTGCAAGAAAAGTTCAGATCAATGAAACGTGTAAGAAAATTCTTTGGTGAGTTTTCTGATTCTTAAGTATTTTAACGGACTATGGTTAATATCAGAAATAAAATCACAACCACGAATAAGCTAAAAATAAACAGCAGTAGCTGAAATTCAGAAGATTCATCATCTTAAGTCATACAGCTAGACAGAGAACAGCTGCTAAACTTGAAATTATATAAAATGTATTCTTTTAATCAGAAGCAACGGTGAGAGATAGAAACACTGATCATCTGCAAAGCTGAGGCCTGATGTCTCATTGCCATTAGGCTATGCAGTAAGGGCATCAAGGCAGGGATTTAACTATACTAATGTATTTCTACTTCTTAAAATGCTACCAGACCGGGGAACTGAAAATTATGTGTCTTTTCACCTTTAGTTGACTGTGAGAAATATCCCATATGCTCCAAAGATTAATGGAGAAACAGTTGTGCCTAACAAAATAAAGCAGTTTCATCTGGACAGTTAAAAATAAAGATTTCATCATTTGGGAGAATCCTAAGCTTGTTAACTGGCTTTCTATTATAAATCCAGAAGATGCACTAACATTTGAAAGTTCTTGATCAAAACTCAGCCTCTTCCTTGGCTCAACACATAACTACAAGTGTCAGTGAGGAAGATGAGAACTTACCTTTGTTAGAAGCAATATAGTTTCAAAGGCTGTTCTGAACCGAGTCTTAACAGACAGCTGAAACCCAGAAATATCAACCTGAAAAAGTTAAACAAAACCAAGCTTTGTAGTATTAAATTATGTTACAGTATCAAGGTACTCTCCATCAACTACTTTGCAGTAAAATGTCTATGTACATGCCCTCATTCCTGGGCAAATAACAGAGGCAACTATACACCAAAGTAACACCATAAGACACTGGAAGCACAAATTGGTTGGTTCTGATAAGCTGTTTCTCAAGGCTCTGATTTTTAAACCTCTTTTTTAAGGGGATCTTACAGAAAAAAGAAAGGAAAAAAAAAATCACCCTATGCTTTAATTATGCTTAGAACACTTCACTGCTCTAAATTAATTGGCAAATTTTAATCATAAATTCTATTTAAGGATTTATCATCAGTCATTTGAGCATTCCATTCTGAAAACAGCATTATAGCTATATTTATCAGAAAACATGCAAATTACAAATGGTTTCCTAAATTCCAACTACACTGCAATTAAGATACATTTTATTTACTGCACTGCCTTTGATTTCAGTAAGCTGTAAATTTTATTTAACTTACAACTAAAAGAAGTTGTTTGGTTCTTTCTACATGTTTGAGAAATTTGTGGCCCATCCCTTTGTTTGCATGTGCACCTTCAATCAGTCCTGGGAGATCAGCTACCGAAATCTAGGAAAACAAAAGTTCAAACAAAAGATTTCAAACAAGCAAAAATGGTGATTTTAATCAACACCTATTATCATTTTATATAAACAAAAGAATCCAGATAAAGGAATGTCAAAAATATCTGTTTTGAGAGACTCCTTTTACAACTATGTGTATTCCTTGGAACTGTGTGTGGGATTAGTTCTCCAGCGGTATGCATTGGATGTTTCAACACATTTAGAATCTATCCTCAGAAGATCAGATTTAAACAAAATGCTACTATTACACAGACATTGTGCTCCTCATGTTCCCGTCTATTTATTTACAGCTGTCTGCAAAGTAGAAAATAGAGGGTACTAATACCCCAGCAGAGATCTTGCAAAATTTACCCATTACCTAAAAATAAAACATACTCTGAAAGGCAAGAAGATTAGGCTATCACATTTGTATAGAATTCAAACTGTCACTGGAAAGCAAAATAAAGTCTGTTCTTTGTGGCTACAAAGGATCATTATTCCAAATGCAAACCCACTTAACATTGTTCCCGAGTGTGAGAAGCTCCAAGAATTTGTCTTCTGCTCTTCAACTGAAATGAGATTTTGATTAGTATATCAGCTTCCAACCAGGGCCCAGCAAAGACTGCCACAACGGACAGGGATCTTCTGATTTTCTCTGCTGGTTGAGAGGGTTGTTCACAGTTGTAAAGGACAGCTGAGACAGACTGAAAAAGAGCAGAATACTAAAATCCCCCCAATGCCTACTCACTAACTCACAGAACGCTAAGACAGATAGTAAAGCAAAGAAGAGCAAAAGTAGGGTTGTCAAATCTATCTAATACTAATTTAGACAGCAACTGGATTCAATTAAAGAATGCCCAAAGCCAGCACACAATAAAATTTCCAGTGTGCTACCTACTGCAGAAGGAGGCTTTCTGCTATGAGTGAGTTACACTCCCACTCACATGCCACACTAACTTTTAACCACTATGCATTTCCTAAATATTTGAAGCCTTGCTTCAGAATTTTCCATCTACAGAGACATGAGATATAGCTGGATGAACCACAGACCTGTAACTAGAAACAGGGAGAGAATAACTGAAACAGAGAGAGAATAACTAGGGAGTTAGAACGGTTTGATGGATTCAGGTGCTGTAGTACCATTATCATCACCTTTTCCCCCAACTTTAGTTCTTTTTCAAAGAATATTTTTTATGGAGTTCATAAAGAAACTCATATTCTCTCAAAACAGCACTTGGTTCAGATATTCTGGTGGAAAATGTAAACGCTTCTCCTAGTTTCCATGATCTGGTACTAAGACCTGAACCCAGAGTCATACTTTTGTGTCTTTTCTTTTCCAAGTAGTAACGACAGACAGCACCAGGTAACTTGCGTTTATTTTCTTCTTCCCACAGCATTCTCCTGGATGGGCATACTCTTTGCTGGGTAAAAAACTGGCTGGATGGCCAGGCCCAAAGAGCGGTGGTGAATGGAGTTAAATCCAGTTGGCAGCTAGTCACAAGTGGTGCTCTTCAGGGCTTGGTACTGGGGCCAGTTGTGTTTAATATCTTCATCAATGATCTGGATGAGGGGATCGAGTGCACCCTCAGTAAGTTTGCAGATGACACCAAGATGGGTGGGAGTGTTGATCTGCTTGAGGGCAGGAAGGCTCTACAGAGGAATCTGGACAGGCTGGGTCGATGGGCCGAGGTCAACTGTGTGAAATTCAACAAGGCCAAGTGCCAGGTCCTGCACTTTGGCCACAACAACCCCAGGCAATGCTACAGGCTTGGGGACGAGTGGCTGGAAAGCTGCCCGGCAGAAAAGGACTTGGAGGTGTCGGTCAACAGCCAGCTGAACACGAGCCAGC